ACTATTATGAACTGGTTTGATTGTCTTCTATAACTTGCATAAAACAGAAGAAACTTTGCTAAATATGGTGAGAATATGTTCTGAGAGGATGAAAGTTCCTTTTGTTTGAATACTGGCCGTGTGAAATATTTTTCTCGGACCGTACAACTGTCGCTAGTGAGATACGTGGTAAGTGTAGCCTTTCTGCTTACTGTCGTTCAGTAGAAAACAAAGCAAGTCCAAGTTGATAGATATTACTTTGATGATGCGTAAACACCTCTTATTGCATGCAGATATACGATATATAAGCATTGGATTTCATAATCTCAGAGCTATGCTTCCTATAGCACTGATTGTGTTCGAAAGATCAAGACCAAGTAAAACAGAAATCAAAGTGTAAACGATGAAGTCACTACACATCAAGAATGCTTGATAAGAAGACGAAAGAACATGCACATGTCAGTGGTAGATTGCTCTATGTGCCAAAAATAATTAAAAATTATAATTTCCTACTGGGAAGATGGAATATTTGTTTTATAACTTTATCAGATATAAAATACTTCTATCCTAAGTAAATATGACAGCTACATACACGATGGTATTCCTTCACTATATAATGTATGACAAAACACTTGGTGTGGAGTCCTGGCTTCCTTGGACACGCTTCAGACTAACACAACTTTTCTCTCCTGATTCCTTTCACTGTTACCAGGTACACCAAGTCTTACCAGGAAAACTAGGATAGAAATAGTGCAAAGAAGACGGCTTGAATAATATGCTGACACTGTTTGCCAGCCTCAGTTTGACTCCAGATATCGTAATTCATAAAATACGTGGCGGACTCAGTCTGACATGAGACTGGAAATCAGATTTTTAAATGTTGGACTCAGTCCAACATAGAACCGCAAAGGGTTAAACAAGTGACAAAACAACCTTTAGACCAACTACACAAAACTCCACAATATATAATGGTCCATCCTAATCCTATTAATAGCCATGTTTCTGAATCTTGTCACACTCTTTTTCCTCTGATAATCTCTAAACACAACTCCCATTGATATCCTCTCTGTCCTCAAACCCCAAACACTAGTGTTACTAAAATAATCTCAAGTGGCTATCACCTCAGAAGACAGCAAAGAGAATGGGGTGCTCTACTTGGCAGATCAACAGAGTAAGATCCAGTGAGACAGCAACCAACCAGAAACTGATCAGCATAGCCTTTCTACTCCATGTAATGAATCTGTCCATCTGCATGAAAGAATACTACCATCGTACAAAAACATAAATCTTCCACTGAAAAGACATGCAGTGTAGTCAGATCAGACAAGGCTTCTGTAGTCCACAAGTTTCCATTGGAATGCAGGGCCCTCTACATTAGTAACAGGTTGCATGATACAATGATGACTAGCAAAATACTCAACTAGAGTCACTAGATGCAGTCTGACAACATGATGACTAGTGAAGCTGCCCCACTATACCAACAGAGTCATTTGCAAAGCCACTGAGAAAATCTTACATTAAAATGTCAATAAAGAAGGTAACTACTAGATAACCTGGAAGCCAACACACTATCAATAATTACAGATAGGCAGGAGAGAGATACTATTTGAGTAATTATTTCATAATTTATAAAATTTTACTTATTTTGTTGATTATTTATGCCTTTTCACACGTTATGATTCATAAATTTTACAGGTAGCTAATAATGAGAGTTCTTGTACTTACATTTGCAAAGCATGTCAGAAGTTTATAGCAATGGCATTTAACATGTACAAGTTCAATCTGAATATTTATACACAATTATAATTTTTCATAATTTCAACCTGTAATGGTTCATGAGCTGGTCACCAAATTGTTATTTTCCTTTTCAGACAAAATAACCTCAACAGATCATAATTTTTTCAAATGTTCATCATCAATGTATACATTTTTGTCATATAACCCCATGACCATAACTTTTCTTAATGTTCAGCATAGGCAAAAGCCTTTTTTGACTACCTAAACATACATGAGGGAAAAGTGTCCTCGGCATTAATTTTCTTGACCATTACGTGCTCCAAACAGGATGCTTCTCTTTGCACCATGTTCAGTAAAACCTGGGAGCTCTCGAGGATCTGAAACCAGAAACAGCAAATGGCAAATAATGAATAATAAAATAAATATGATTTGAGTGTATAAATGCATTCACCTTGTAAAAGATTAGATCCAGCAGTAGGCTCTTGTATACAAAATGCAAGGAATTTCTGGAGAAATTAAGCAACTGCAAGCTTCTTAATGATTCTACTCCATCCCTGAGTTAGTGCTATGAAATATACAGCAATATGCAGCAATGCTGACGAGCATCATTTAAGTACACACTCACACCTTTGAATATGCAACTTCAGTCTCTGAAATGGTTCGGTCATATTCTCTCTTTGCAGCTACCTTCCGGGACAGACTGTCATTAAGCTGGGTCAGTTTGTATGACATCTTCTCAATCTCTCTTTGCAGAGTGGCCTTTTCCTCTTCTTGCTCATCAATCAGTTGCTGCAGTTCACTGCACTTCCTCTTCATATGTTCAATCCCTATGAAATATAATGGTGTCAGTAATATGAAACACATCAGTGCAATAAGGCAGACTGTAGTGATTAATGACAGAGAGATTTCTATTAAATAAGAATCACGAATTAAAGAAAATTATGTTGATTCCTCTCTAACCCTAAGTAATCATACTGTACACTTGTAAATAATGGTAAATCATGAAGCAGCAGAGGTTTTACAATCATCCAGTAACATTTACAGATGTATCTTAAATGCATACACAGTTTTATTTGGAAAAGTTGAGGGAAAGAAAACACTTATCAGAACTAGGTGTAGAAATTTCAATATTATAATAATATGTGAAGAACTAGCTTTTGGAAACATGGTAGTTGAGATTTGGTTTCACAAATGGGAATAATATCAACAGCTCAAAACCCTCACATGCAAAATCGACACCATATTCTGTACTTTCACCCAGTTATCTCTGCATCTACCTAGAAGGGCTACAAGAAGCCCCAGCCAGGATCACCACAGAATTCATCCCAGCTACCACCTGAATGCAAAGATGTAACTTAAAACTTCGGATAAAACAGTAAACATAAGGAAATAATAACATAAAAACAAAATGTGTGCACCACATAGAAATTATACATACACATTTTATAAGGACTTACATTTAAATGAATCTAAGTTATATAATCATATATATATTTTAACAAACTACTATTCATTCCTTAAAACTTGACAAAATTAATGAAGCATCAACTTGGTTTGTATACTTAGTATGTAGGAGACACTAATACAGTGGCCAGATGTATGTCCACAATACCCTATATCTC